CTGATTGGTTAGAATAAGTGAAAGCCAATTGGAATTTTAATTAACACACATTGCAGATCTCTTATAAAAGACACAAATTAAAGATTTTAACAACTCACCTGACATATGAACCATTGGAATTATTAAGCAATAATGATGAGCAAGATAAGGATCAACTATTGGAAGAAATTGAATATGATTCAGAAGAAGATTTAAAGGAACAGGAAGCATATATATTGGATATAGTCCATGAAAAAGAAGAAGAGAATTCTGCAATTTTTTTTATAAAAACATCAGAAGACATTCAAAAGGATCTACCTGAAGTTACACAAGGTATCTTAATTGAGGAGCAGCAATATGATATATAACAATTATTGGAAGAAAATCAAGATATATTTGCCAATAATATATTAAAGAAAGAACAAACTAGTAACTTAGGGAGAACAAACGAAGTAACACACTGCATTAATACTGGAGATGCAATACCAATTAAGCAACAACCATATAGAGCCTCTCCTGATCAACAAGAATTTATTAAAAAGGAAATTGAAGAAATTTTGTAACGATAAATCATCAGTTCCACTATCAGCTCCTGGTCATCTCCTGTAGTAATCATATCTAAGAAAAATAGAAAATTCAGATTCTGCATAAACTATAGGAAACTGAACACTGTAATTGTCAAGAATGTATATCCAATGCCAATAGTGAACAACTTATTGGAAATATTTAATCATGCATGATGGTTCACATGCCTGGATCTTGCTAGTGGATATTGGCAAGTAGCTATGAATGATCAGGATAAGAAAAAAACCACCTTTGTTATTAAATATGGGTTATGTGAATTCAATGTCATGCCATTTGGACTTTGTAATGCATCAACTACATTTCAATGACTAATAGACAAGATTTTGGTACCATACAAAGGAAAATTTATGAAAGTCTACCTGAATGATATCACTATCTTCTTAACAACTTTTGAATTACATTGTCAACATATGATATCAATTCTGGATATATTAAGACAAGCAAACTTGAAAGTCAATATCAAAAAATATCACTTCTTTTTAGCAAGTGTAAAACTTCTAGGTCATGTGATCAGCCGTGATAGAATTCAACCTGATAACGAAAAAATCGACAAAGTGAAAAATTTTCCTAAACCTACGACCATATGACAACTACAAGAATTTTTGGGATTAGCTTCTTACTATATGAAGTTTATTAAAAACTTCTCTACTATTGCATGACCACTGAATAATTTATTGGAAAAAGAAACATTCTATAATTGAACAGAGGATCAACAACAATCATTTGAAACCCTGAAATGACTGTTGATTATCTCTCTGATTTTGCAATATTCTGACTTTTCAAAACTATTCTACTTGTATACCGATGCTTCTGAAACTGGGATTGGAGCAGTACTGATATAAAAAGAGGACAAAAAGGAACATATAATAGCTTATACCAGCCGAAGTTTGAATAAAGCCAAATGAAATTATTCTATTACTGAATTAGAATGCCTTGCAATAATATGGGTCATTGAACACTTTCACCAATACTTAGGAACCAATTATTTTTATTTAATCACTGATCACTTAGCACTTCAATAGTTGAAAACCACTGAACTCAAGAAATGATGTGCACAATGAATATTATGCCTGGAGCCTTATAATTTCACAATAATTCATCGATTTGGAAGAAAACACAATAATGCCGATACTATATCACAAATGTATGAAACAGAAAATCTACTCTTGAAAATCAATACCAATACTATTTAATATTAAAATATAGGAGAAACAAAAAGATTAACAATCCAACGATAAATAATATCCAGTCCAGATTTTTGGTGTTCTGACAAAAATGAAAAAAAAATTAATTAATCAAAATGGAATATCAACAATATTATCAACTCAAAAACTATTTTCTAAATAAAAAATTACTGAGCGGTATTAATATACAACAACAAAAACAACTACAAGCAAAGGCAAAATTCTTTGAAGTGAAAAACAATTAATTATACAAAAAGAATTAACAAAGAAAAACAAGAAATTGATTACTACGCGTATTACAAAAACATGAATTGAAACTTATATTGTATTTATTATATAACTATCCTATTGGCGCACACTTAGGAGTGGACAAAATTTTCAACAAAATACAAGATCAATATTATTGGCTCCAAATGTTTGAAGATATTAAACAATATATCAGGACATGTGATCAATACCAATGACAAGAAAAATTCAAAACCTCTGGACTATTACATCCAATAGTAGTTGGAGATCTATTCTCAAAAATAAGATTTAATATAGTTGAACCATTACCTATAACCACTAAGGGAAATCGTTATATTATAGTGGCTACTGACTATCTTACAAAATGGCCTGAAGCTAAAACTACCTCTGAAGCCATAGAACAATGTATTGCAGATTTTATTTATTAAGTCATTATTTGTAGACATGGATGTTCAAAGCAAATACTTTCAGATAGAGAAACACACTTTCGAAATGAAATTGTGGAAGCTTTACTAAGAAAATTTGAAATAGTGCATTTATATTCCACCCCATACCACCCTCAAACAAATGAATTGGTTAAATGTTTTAATAGAATTCTATGTGAATTACTGGCCAAAATTACTAAAGGAAATTAGAATTAGAATGAATTTATAATATTAGTACTTTTTGCATATTGGATTTCCAAACAAGCAACAATCAAAATGACACTTTTCTACTTAGTTTATGGATGAAACCCTACAATACTCTATGAAGAAATGAATGAAATTATTGATGGAAACATTCTTGACTGATTATATATATTGATAGGAACACTTCCACAGGACCATATTCAAGCTTAGCAAAATATCGAGAAAACTCAATAGAAACAAAAAAAGAGACATGATCTAAAAATAAAAAAGAATAAGAGATTTAAAATTGGTAACAAGATTTTACTTTATGATGCTGCAAGAAATAAATACTATATCAGAAAACTCAAGCCCAAATGGAAAGGACCTTTCTATATTCATGACACTTTGAAAAATAGAGCTTATAAGTTAAAAACAATGGAAGGAAAAGTTATAACCATGTCTTTTAATATCATCTTGATGAAATCATATTTTGACCAAGAATCTTGGAAACCTATTATTCACCTGAAAGAAAAAGAAATAATTTAAATAAAGAAAAATGTAGCACAATAACCACAGTTTTACAGAATGCCCTTGAATTATTGCAACCAGCTCAACTGAGCTGCTCAGTAACTGCTACATTTCCAAGGATAAATAACAAAGAATCAAAAAAACGAAAAAAGAAAAATTAAAGAAACACCTTAACCTAAAGAAGAAAAAATCTGGTTAAAAAGAACAGGAACTTGTATACACAACTGGACCAAAAGAAGACCTAAACAAGTAACCTGCTGATACAAGTTTTTATTTTCTAACTCAAGTTCACAAACATGAGAGGAATTTGTTGGAAAGAATAATCGAAAAATCTCCCTATAAAGGTACTCTAAATCTTTTTCTAAAGAAGTCATTGATTTTTCTCCATAACGTATTTGACATTCTAGAAAGCAAACCTATTCTTGTAAAATAATAATGGCCTCCCAGAAAAAATCACAAAGTTCTGAACGAGTTAGGCAAGAAGCCCTAGCAACATGACTTTCATGAGGCATGAAAAATTAGTGAAAATGATTATTTTCATGTCCTTTAAATCAAGAAATTTGAAAAAGTATCTGGAATCATAAAAAATCTTATAGAACCTTTTGAAACTTTGTAAAACTTTTTCATCAAAAACATATATATATATCCTATACTTCTGTATAACTGTCTTAAAAATCCAATTACCCTATGCAAAAATGTTAACAATCGCCATTCAAGACCTAATTATAAAAAATCTCTTAAGAACTGAACCTCAAAATATATATGTATTACAACTCCTCATCTTGATAATTAATTCCTTGAAAAGAAAATCCGCATAACCTATATTCAACTACAATGTTTTGCAAGAATGAGGGACAGAAAGAAGACTTTAATCTGTGCTTACTATATGAGAGAATTATTGAAATCCATTTCAACAAAAACTCAACAACAATACTTAAGTAGACAACTTTTCAAGTATTACCTGAGTGTTAGTTGACATATTTATAATCTCTTTGAAAAAACTGGTATTGCCCAAATTGAGTGAACACAACATGTCACCATTATTATGATTTTTAGAATAAAACTTCATGAGTATTCAATGTTGGTGGGAATTTATTCGTGAGACTTATTGCTAAATAGGGAGGAATGTTATAAGTGTTTATAGTACTATTTTTAGATTATTATTTTATAGTATTATAGTATTATATTATTTCTATTATTAGTTATTTAACATATATAACATAGCAAGTAGATATGGCATTTCTGCCGGATATGACTGATTAGCCTGATCAGATAGAACAGTCTGAATGACTTGAGCAATGTAATCAAGAATATCAGGCATATCTGACTAAACTGGCATATCTTGTCACTTATTTATATTTTAGTTTCATATGTTTCAAACATATATAAATAAAACAGCTGTTCTTCTCAACTGTCCAAGAAATTTCCTAATTCTTTCCAACTCTCTCTAATAAAAACTATCTTGAACCTATAACCAAACCACCATGTCTCTTGCCTTGAAAATAAACCTTGCCCAATTCCTTTACCTTACCAACACTAGTATATCACAACTGAAACTATTTTTTTCTAAATTAAGTGATTTCCTGCTACTGTTGTCCATTGATCTATTTAATTTTAAGGTTTATTAAATAGGTTAACAATATAAAACATTTATAAAAATATTATATACTGTATAAAATATTTATAAAGTTCTTATATACAGTAATTATACTTGTAAAAAATTTATTTATAAAAAATTTTATTGATAAAAAATTGTTAATACAAAATTATTATTTAAACTTGTCAAGTATTTAAATTTGTTTGTTTTTTTTCTTCAAATTTTATTATTTCAAAAATTTTTAACTTTTTATATAACATTATTACCTTATTATTACTAAACAAAGTTTATATTTGTTCATAAAATATAATAAGAATTTTCAATACATTGCTTGCTACTGTTACAGATATTAAAGGTGAAGGGTGTTCTTTATTTTCCTTATTCAAATCAAGTAGTATGTCATTTTCTATCATATCATCTGCCTTAATTATATTATTATCTTCAAATAATTCTTCCGTTATAACAGGTTTTTCAATAATATTAATATATATCTTCATATCTTGAACAAAATATTGTATAGTTTAATTGGTAGTATCAAGATTATATAAAGAATTCAAAACTTTATTTTACGCATTTAAAGTTTCATTTGATAAATCATTTACTTGAGTATTCATAAAATCAGTTTTAGGAAGAATTTTTGTTAAATTCTAACAATTTTATATTGTTTGTTGTGTAACTTCATTCCAAGCTTGCAAAGCATAATCAATTGCTTGTTTTATATTTAAAATATTAAATAATAAAACAAAAAAAAATAATAAATTTTTTTATTAAAATTATTACATAACATACTTTGCAATATCAATATTATGCTCAAATTGATTCAAAATATGGCAACAATAATATTGACAATAGTATGTTTTAAAAGATCTAATAATTTTTGCATCAAGTGGTTACAGATGAGCAATCATATTTGATAAAAGATAGTGAATATGAATATTAGTAAGATGAAATGGTTTCCAAAAAGAATTTTCAACTATAACCTGATTTTTTTTTTGTCTTTTGTAATTATTTGTTCTTGTGACCAATCTCATTTTTTGTGATTATTGATAGAACTTTCTGCAATTAATTCATTTTTTTTAACTACTTCATTTTCTTTATTGCTTAATAAACTATTATTTTTTTTTTCTAAATTATCTACATTTATAATTATATTATATAACAGAACATTGTCAACAAGTAGAAGCACATGTCATTGTTGAATTTGAAAACTTTCTTTAATATATTTTAACCAATTTTTCCAGATTTCACTATGCATCCATGCATTTGAGTTGTATCGATATATAACAGGTAATGAGGAAATATTAATTCCCTTAAATGAATGTGAAGATTTAATGGTACCAATTATAAGAGATTTAAGTTTGTGAATTCCAGTAATATTTGTAGCTAACAAAATAGTAATTCATGTTTTATCCTAAATTTAATTAATGTATTAATAAAAAAAACTTTAATATAAATTAAAAAAATTTTAAAAACTTACTAATTTTTTGCCAGCACTTTGACACTTTGTAAGAGTTTGATTTGGAGCCATTCGGTAAAATAAATCAGTTTCATTTGCATTATAAATGTCTTCTGTTTTATATTGTTATAATAATTCATGCAATTCTCTTCTTTCTTTTAACAGATTTTCAATTGGTACTAAATTAGCTTCACCATGAAGCCAAAAAGCTTTTATATTGTTATATATTTTAAATCTTGACACCTAACTATTTAATTATTGAAGAGAATCTTTACCATATTCAAAAAAAGTAGCAAAATGTTTAGCCTTTTTCTTAAGAAGTGTTTCAGTAATAATTAACCCTGCAATAGATACTTGATCAATTCAAAAATTCAAGGCTTTTTCTAACAAAGGAAATTTTAATAAATAATGCTTATAAGTTATTTCTATTATTTTGCTCAAGTTAATATTGTACCAATAGTCTGATTTTTTTAATGTTTTTGTAACAGTTGGCCATATAATATCAAAACCAGGATATTTTTCATTAAAGTGATTAGCTATATTTTCATGATAGATACTTGGTGATGCTTTGATTCAGAATAAACATATTTCTTTATATATAGTATTACTAAGTACTGTATATTTCTTTTTTTTATGAATTGGATCTTTAGGTGACATATTAAAATAAGAAGTCCAAAAAAAAAAATATAGTAACAAAGTGTTTTGTCAAGAATGGAAGAAATAAAGCAGGAATAAACTCAAGCATAGAAATATTTTTTATTAATTTATTATCTTGCAATTTATAATTAAAATTATGATTGGTTAATCACCTGTACACATATGCATGCATAGTATAATTAACTCAAATAATACTTTTCTAATTAACATAATTAGGAAGTAAGAATTTTATTTAAGGATTTTTAAAATCAAGTTCCTGGCTCAAATAATATTTCTTTAATCAGCTGTCAATTAATTATGTGATAAGGATTTTATTTATAATAATTTTAAAATAAAAATTCCTGGCTATCATATGTTACTGATTATATCCTATCTATAATATCCCCTATAAACAAGATCTGGATACAATTCATAGATAACAAAAAACATGTAATATACTTTAAGAAAACCATACTAAACAAGAAAATTTATGATTAGAGATCTTAGGGTTGAAATAGTCTTAACCTATTCTCAAACTTTAAATATGTAAGAAGCTTCAGGTTACTTAACTTTTTGAACCTGGACATTCAAATAAGAGTTTCTAATAGGCCATTTTTAATAAGCAGAACTGGAGATGCATAAATGAACCGAATGTAAAATTAAGGTGTCAAAATTTATATTCATTTAGATATCACAAAAGGTATTAGTTCATCTAGGCAGCAGAACAGTAGCCATGGAAATCAGAATTTGCTAAGGAGTGTATAACAACTTACCTGCCAAATGAACTAGTCCTGAAAATAGATGATACTTAAGCATGATATTCATACCTTACCATTAGAGTTTTATTAATGCTCTGACAAGTAGGCAGGCATGAAAATTTGATGAAGAAGTCAATGATATAATTTGTAATTGGTTTATTTATTGGTAGTGTGATTTTGTTTTGGTTGTTGTTGCTATAAAAGATTTTGTTTACATCAATTAGAATATAGTATTTTGGATATGGATTTGTTTGAAAAATTGATAGTGTTTGATTGGTTAAGTTTGAAATGTTGATCAATTGATAGAAATAAACTGATTGTGGTTTTTTGGTGAAAATTTTTTAAGTAAGATTTTTTGGTTTTTGGTGATACAGCAAAGTATACTGAATATAGGGTTTCGAAAAAGTATCAAACTGGTATTAAACTAGTATCAAAATAGTATTGATCTATAGTAAATTTAATATATGGGTTGTGACCTACTCATATGTTTTTATAGTAAATTTAAGTATCAAACTGGTATTGAAGTGGTATTGAAGTAATATCATTAGAAGCCCTAGCTGGGCAATAGTAAGAAGTAAACATTGAATATATTGTTGATGCTCCAAGTCAACAATATAAACAATTTTGATATAAAGTCTGGTTTTTTGAAATAAAAGAAAATCCTTTAAATAAAAAAATAGTTATTTAAAAAGATTTGTGTATTGAAAAGAAATGAAAATGAAAAGAACCTTAAGGAAAATTTATAAAAAAGTAATTGCTACAGGCCTTTTCTCATACAATCCAAAGAAAAAGCAAGATCCCAAACTTGCTTTTCTCTGGTCTGAGGTCCTATTCTAATATATCAATATACTTCTTTAATTTTCTTAAGGCTCTTGTAATGAAAAAGGAAGAAGTATGAAGAACTTTTGGATATTGAAAGGTGAAAAAAATATTTGTTTCTTTAATTTTAAAAAAAATTACTATAAAAGGAAATTTTTAAGAAAAAAGTTGCATACGGGAAAGAGTTTTTTTGAGCAAAAAAGTAAATAAACATATTGTTTTAGTTATATATTTATAACTTCATTATAAAAAAAAAAATTATTAAGTATAATTTTTTTAAGTGTTTGCAATAATATATTTACTTTCTATATTGGATAATAATAATAAGTAAATTAATTTTTTGATAAATTTATATATATATATAATGTATATACAGTATATATTAAATAAATAAATAACTCTATTTGGAATTGTATTTAAAAAATTAAGTTAAATAGACCTGTGGGTCTATAGTGTAGTGATAAATACTTTACAAATAAGGATGGGTCCCTAAACTATTTAGTATATAAAATTTTGCAGATCAATTATGTCCCTTTTGAAAGGACATAATTATTTATTTATTATTTTAATAGGAACATAATTCAAAAAACACTTGGATCAAATGGCCTAAATTGCAAAAAACCTTTGTAAATAGTTTTTTTTTAACTTTATATTTAAAAAAAAAACCTTTTTAATAGTAAGAGGCATTTGAATTATATCCTCACCTTTAATTTAGAGACCTATTTTTATTCACAGATCAGATTACAAGATATTGGTTCAATCCTTGATAAAGGTGATTGAATAGAACATATATGATATTTGGCACCATAACCTGTTATATGCTATTTCTTATATGAAGCTATTTCACATACTGATCCAGTAGGTGTAGAGATTGTAATCTCCAAAAAAGGTATAGTAGCATGATAATCATTTAATTGGTACTATAATGATTATTGGCATGCAAGAATACAATACAGTTTGGATATATAGGCTGGGCTATACTTCATTTAATCACTTCAGTAAAATCACCTCCTATTATTGATTATTGAAGTAAAAAAATCTTGAAAATAAACACTGAACCAACACTAATGTCTTGTGCGACATGGCTTCCCAACAAATGTTGTATATAGGAGTTGTGCTTTGCTTGGCATTCATGTCTCTAGATTTGGTAACTTATACCAACCAATCCCAAACTGAAGTGTCTACTAGAAGATTAAGAAAAACCAGGAGTTTTTATAGTATGGCCTAAGAATCTTTAAGAAGTAACATCCCACTTGGCTAAATATGACCTCTAGATTTGATAGCTCTAACAAACTAGTAGGCAAAAAACATATTGTACTGTGATATTAATTCAAAACATTTACCAAGAAGTGCATATATAGGCAACCTGGCTGGGCCTCTTTGCCATATTAGCTACATGTGATGTGATAGGTTAATTATGTAGATTGTCAATAGTCTCCATTGCTCTTACACAAGTTGAATTAGTAGGTTAGATGGTTTAAAACTAGTAATAGGATTTTCACCCCCTAGATAGGTCCCCCAAAAATATGTAATCCACTTTAAGAGTGACTAGTGTATCTTTGGGTACTAAAGTAGATAGGCTAGCATTTAGCTGTTACAATGTAATAGAGAATGTTTGATGTATCGAAAATTGGAGTAATTCAATAAAAACCTGCATCTAATGCCATTCTACTATAAAAAAAAAAAAATTAAGTTAAATTTTATGTAATGGTAACCATATTAATCTTAAATAAAAAATACTGGTTTTTAACTTTTAAATAAGTGGTTGTTTATTATAATTTAATAACAAGTGATATCAACTTGGATATTTAAGCTACTGTGGATAAATGTCTGAAAATTGATTGAAAACGCGAAGACGAATTTCATGATGAATAACTCGATACTCCAAAGATTACGCAGTAGACCTAAACGTCCTTTTTGGAAACTTCCACAACATCGCCTACCAGTTTTATCCCTCTATAAAACACTACTTAAAATCTCCAAGAAGTTTCCCGAAGACATTCATAGGAAATATCTTTTCTATTCGATACGTGATAAATTTAGAGTTAGACGACACGAAACTTCAGTAACAAACACTATCGAATTCTTAAAAGAGGCTAAAGAGGTTATTGAAATTCGGCGTGTTAAATATTCTATTACTTATTGCTCAAGGGTTTAAATAATGCGTATCTAGTGCCGTAACACGTTACTAAAAGCACTTAATGGCGATGTAGAAGCGTTTCAACATATAGACGACTTGACATGGGGCAGAAAGGGAAGTCTCAAAGAAATTCTGACCTGGGTAATTTTATTTCATTTTGACATAGATAATTATTTCAAAGAAGCTCATGCATGTATAAAAATTAAGCTTCGAACAAAAAAATGGAAGAAGAGGGCGAAGTCAAAGGTAAAAATATCGGTCCATCCTTTCATAACCCATTTCGATATGTTTGTTAAGTTCAGTGGTTCATAGCGAGGCATCCTTCGGGTGATTTCTGATACGCGGACTAAGGCTTCTCGTATGAAAGATTCTCATCGAGCATATAAAATTCCACTTGATCGAAGGTTGTATTCACCACCCAGGGTACAATTAATAATAAAAAGTCGAATGCCTAAAAAGAAAAAACATTTCTGGCGCACAGGACTTGTTAGACATAGAATAATCACTCAGTTAGGTTACAGGCTTCAACGGATCAGAGGATGGAGACAACCAACTTGGATCTCAATGATGATGAATAAACGCATAAATCAACATAATAAGAGGCTCGAAAGATATAACTTGTTGGAATCTTATCTTGAGATGGTCAGGGCAGAGGTGCTCATGATGAGACAGTTGGATCCAAAGTTAGCCACGGATGTGGAAGGTTTTGGTATGTAATGACATTTTTTAAGGGTTACAAAATGCTTCGCGTCTGAACCCATCAACTAACATCTTTTGTCATTTCTAGAAAAATTAATCATACAAGAAATGACCGAAAGTAAGAAGTATCATGAAAGAATGTTAAAATTAAAAGCAAAATCTCAATTAGATGACTCCTAATTAATAAAATTTATTAAGGATTATCAAAGAGTGTAATTTGTGTTTATAGATAATTTCTAGACTACCGTTTAGTCCTTTAACTTTAGGAAGTTTTGAATGCTATTATTTAATCCATCGATTTCTGCTTGATAGGACTTGAACTGTCACGAGGATAAATATGTATATTAATGGCAGAAATAAAAAGCTCAAATTTGATTTGATACCTTGAAATTATAAATACCTTTGTCTCATTTGTTTCGCGAACATCTGTTGGTACTTTAGATTCATAATCCGGAATTTGTATCTTCTTCTGAAGTGAAGTTAGCGCTCGTGTTGTTTTGTCAAGTTTGTTTTGGAGCTTTACAACTTCGGAGTCTATATCCACGAATCCCTATCAAGCAACAGGATAATCATTAGACGTGGAAAGCTGAATAGTGTACTGCCAAGAAGGTTATACATACTTTGACCAAAAGCAATACGTTTATCTCATCGTTGACGGTGCTCAGAGAACAACCAGCGGGAGTAGAATCATCCTTTTGTAAGACATTTACCGATTTTGCACCCTTCACTAAAGTGATAATGCTTTGTTCTTGGGTGGAAAGAAATTTAGCAAGTGAATCGGAAGCTACCTGAATAAATACTTTTTTTGGAATAAAAAATTGTAAATATAGTGAAAGGGTTATGTGGTTTGGTTCAATTTAACTTACTTGTGGCATTAGATTGAATATTATATTCAACAGTAAGTGACCTTGCAGCTTTGATGATCGAAAATATCAGATCAAATTGTTCCTCGGCTTTCGGATTGTTATATTCTGGTACCTACAAAAATTATTTTATGGGATTCAGAAAATAATTAAAGTTACATCCAACATATTAGCACACGCGAGATACCTCTAGAGGATATTTGGCTTTAGTAATTGTTTGAACGTCTTCGTTGGGGCGACGGGGTAAACGTTGATATAATTCTTCGGTTACAAATGGCATAAATGGGTGAAGTAATTTAAGTCCAGCTTCCAAGCAGGTATACAATGTATCTTCAGCTGAACGTTTACGTTCCACGTTTTCCGATATTGAAATATCAGCATCGATAATAGGTTTGATAACTTCCTGCAATATAAATACATTAATTATCAATAACGATTCTCCAAAATAATAATAATAATAATAATAATAATAATAATAATAAATCGTTACAATGTAAACATCGCAAAGTTCGTACAGCCAGAAACTATAAACAGACGTTGTGGCGTTCATAAAGTTCCTCTCATATAGAGCTTTGTTCGTGTTAATTACTGCCTGATTAAGTTTATGTAATATCCACTGTTCGGGTAATGATTCTTTTCCAGTTTTCTGGTGGAGAGACATAGTCAATTTTCAAGGCTACTATTATTAAAAGTTGATTCAGGATTAATAGGTCGAACCCACTTTGGAATCGGATCTTGGATGAAAATCTTCGCCCAATTTCATTAAAGCGAATCGAGTTGCATTCCATAATTTATTGCAGAACTTGCGGTAACCTTCCACACGAAGAATATCAAGGTTAAGATCTCGGCCTAATATAAATTGAATCGATGTGAACAAGTGTAGTGATAATAACACGTTTGAAAACAGGAAATGCAAAGAAAATATCAAATGACCTGTCGAAGTGTATGCGCATAATGCAAATCTCAACGCGTCAGTTCCGCATTCTGGTATACCATTTGGATAGTCCGCTTTTTGACCAGCTTTTGCCTTTTCGATCTCACGCTTATCAAGATTTCCTTCGTATAGCTTTGCGTGTAGCTTATCCAATGTTATACCTTGAATTACATCCACTGGATCTACAACATTTCCTAATGATTTGCTCATTTTACGACCATGCGCATCACGAACCATGGCATGACAAAAAACCTCACTAAATGGTACTTGACCAGTAAGCTTGATACCCATCATCACCATACGAGCTACCCAAAAGAACAAAATATCCCATCCGGTTTCCAATAGTGATGATGGATAGAAATTCTTCAGGTCATCATTCTAAAAAAGAAAATTCCTTTTAAGTTCGCTAAGACTACTCCAAGATCAATAATTACAAGTATCTCTTAGCAGAAGCCATTTACCTGTTCTGGCCAACCAAAAATAGAGAACGGCCATAAACCTGATGAAAACCACGTGTCTAATACGTCCGGATCTTGCTCCAATTCAAACTCTTCATCTGGAAACTTTTCCTTTGCTTTTCTCATTGCTTCATCTCTATTCCTCCCTGAAACCCAGTAAGCACCATCCGAATGCTGCAAATGAAAAACTCTAATCAACAAAAGGTATTTCATGGATCTAAAACGAATGTTACTTACGTCCTGGTCCCGATTAGCTATTTTAATGAAGTAAGCTGGTACCTGATGTCCCCACCAAAGCTGACGAGAGATACACCAATCTTGAATATTTCCTAGCCATCTAAACCAATCTTTTTCCGAAGTCTTTGGCGTAATTCGAAGTTTACCATCTGTAACAGCCTGTTGAAGTTTTGCATTATTTAGCAAGATCCACGCTAGATAAACTAAAGAACCTTTATGTACATACCTTCATCGCATCGGCTGCCATAGCCGAACAACTAACCCACCACTGAGGTTTCAATACGGGTTCAATAATATCTCCAGACTTGCTGAAAATAATAAAATCGCGAAAATACGTAAAAAAGAAGAATTATGTTCTCTTTTCTTTTCGTGTACTGATACTCACGCACAAGTAGGAATGGCCATGGGATTTTCTTGCGTTCCAAAAAATAAGCCTTTTTCTTTGAGGGCTTCAACTACGGTTTTACGAACATGAAAACGCTTCATGCCCTAGAAAGGAAACCTACACTAAATACTGAGAAAAGCATTGTAACTATGTACCTGCATAAACATACTTTGAATGGACCGCCATTTTCATTAAGTGTACCGTCATCATTAAGTATATTAATAAACTCCAGATTATGTCTTTTCCCGACTTCATAATCATTAAAATCGTGAGCAGGTGTAATCTTGACAGCTCCGGTACCGAATCCCATGTCAACCATATCATCTAAAATAATTGGAATTCGTCGTCCATTGAAAGGATGGATCACATATTTACCGTGAAGATGCTAATAGAAGCACAAAAAAGTTCGTTAAATTATAAAATTAAAAGTCGAATCGGAAAAACACGTAAGTCAGTATAACCTTATATCGCTCGTCTTGAGGATGAACCGCCACACCGCTATCACCCAACATGGTTTCGGGACGAGTCGTAGCAACCACAATTTTTTCATCTAATTGGAGTAGACGTTAAGAAACTTGTTATATAATAATATATTTACTTTGATAAAACTTATAGAATTTGAAGGGATACCGGAATTCTCAATAGGGTATCCAAAAGACGTTAAAACGCCAAATTCAATCTTTTCTTCCGGTTCATAGCCAGGTACAGACAGAAGAGTACGCCCGGTCAATTCCTTGTTCTCAACTTCCAGATTTGATAAGGCCGTATTGAGCCTGACACACCAATTTATCAATCGAGTGGCCCTATAAATAATCCCCTCTTCCTGCAGACGACAAAAAGTTTCCACAACAGCATTCGATAATTTCTAAACATTATAAACAGCAAAGTTTGGTTCACTTATCAGCAATTCTTAAACGACATAAATAAGCATAGATCATATACTTCGTCCATCGTAAATACTGAACGACTCCAATCAAAAGAACCTCCAAGTCGCTTCATTTGAGAATGAATTCGATTACCATACCTTTAATGTATCAATTGTTATTTCGGAGAAGAGAAAAAATAAAAAAAGCAAAATAATTTTACATCATCGTTTACATACAAATTTTTCCATTTCCAAACTTCTTCGATGAAGTCTTTCCTGCCAATATCGTGACGAGTTTGTTGTTTCTCGGTCCATAATCTTTTCTCAACAACAGATTGGGTCGAAATCCCGGCGTGATCTATGCCTGGGTTATATAACACTGTCTTTCCCAACATTCGATTCCTAAATTTAACAAATCTTTTAAATCTTTTAAATCATTCACGGGATATGGGAGTAAATTTTCTATGAGTAACGCATTTTTACATACCATCTTACCAATGCATCCTGAATTGCAATAGTTAATCCGTGACCAATGTGAAGGGAACCTGTGACATTTGGCGGAGGAACGGGAACGATGAAAATTCCTTCAGGTTTGGGCTTACCATCTGAAGTCAATTCTGGTTCGAAAAAGCCCTGTTTCTCCCACCATGCATACCAAGAAGATTCAACAGCTTTTGGGTTGTAAGACGACGCCATTGGCTGGGACATGTCTATTCACGTGAGTCAATCGGTTAATTCGATCTCGATGAAAGCTCGATAAACTTTGGAAAATCTGTGATGCTCAATTACCTTTCTTTTCACCAACAGGGGTATTATCGACAAATTCTGTTTCCTCAACTGGAAGTTTTTCTTTCTTGTTTTTTTTCTCCTTTTCTTTCTTTTTTTTGATTTAACAAAAGTCATTAACCGGACGAACGTAACTAGCTAGCTACATGGGTAATTTTGCTCCGAAATTCCATACCTCGGAAGAATTTGCCTTGGCTTGTTTTGCGGCAAATTTTGCTAGTTTTGCTTGTCTTTTGGCTTCGTTTTTATCGGCATTTTTTGATTTAATAGGGGTACCTTCACTTGTTTCAGAAATTGAGGCACTGGTATCTTTTTCCTTTGTATCCGCCATAATTAATTTTTTTTTAAAAAAAAAAAAAACTGGATACGTTTTTTTGATCGAAAATTTCCAGTTGTTATATATGCTTAATCTCGGTGGCGTAGCATTATGACTATTTATGACCAAATTTCTATTTTAGGTATATATTGTATGAAACTGCAATAATTTAGCGTGTCGTGTCAATACTTGCCTACTGACAACTTGTATTGCTCGGCAACTTTTAATAATTCTTGTTTCACAATGAATCAGGGAAAACGTCCAGCAAGGTAAAAAAGGTACTTTACTGTTTTCATAATTTACCCATTTATCGTCACCGAATTTCTAATTCCTTGAATCATAGAACATACAATCAAAATCTATATCGGGATAATCGAGAAAACCGGGCAGCATTATTTACCAGTGCTCAAACTTCTGAGAGTATTCCTGCATTAAGATCTTCTACAACAAATTCAACAAAGTATTCCATAAGTGAAACTTTAGATTTAGAAAGTCAAAATGATGAAAAAATCGAGGGTTTGACAGGAAAAGTGAAGCTTTTAAAAGAGGTCGGTGGAACGTATCGAAAACATATCCATTTAAAATTTATTATAACTGAAATCTTGAACAACTTGTTAGATTACGTTAAGCATTGGCGAGTCGGTAAAGGAATCAAATGCACTCATAAGCACAATGGTAAATTTAAGTTTTTTTTATTATAGTATGAATCTTTATCAATAATTTTCTAACTTTAACTCAATTAAAGTCTGATGAATACTCGCAAACTGGTAATTTCCTTGATGGTACCATGAATCGATTAAAGATATTGGCAGCAACGCAGAACAGTCAATTCTTTTGCTACATGATTTTTATCTTGTTGATAACATTCATATTTATTTATTTTATTTTCATTCGATAGTGAGACAATTGTTTAAAACGACATGAATAATAATAATAGAATTCCTTACCTATACATTTTTAATTGTATTGTCTTACAAAATTACCAACATGAGAATTTTCTTAATATAATAGAATATTTACACGCGCCCCTGAAGCAAAGTTCTATAGAAATTGTTGTAATAGAATTTATCAGTTCCTTGTGGCTCAACTAATGGCATTGTACTTTTCCATTTATTTTCCTTTGCTCCCACGATAACTTTGGCTCCCCAACTCTTAAGAATTTTTACATCTTGGGTAGCCTCTTCCTTGGAATAGGATGTGAACACACAGGGTGTCTCCTTGTCTAACAAAAATTCAATCGTAGGTTTCCAGAGTTCTGTATCATCCTCATAGAGTCCAGTGTTGAACCCGGCAGAAACATGAGGAGCTGTGTAATCTGAAGAGGAACCGTACTCATGGTATGCCATGGGATAAAATGCGCAAATACGCTTTCGACCTGAGTTGGTACAACGCGAACAGCATTGTAAATCGATTCCGTGATTTTGCCCTGGTAATTCAAATCCCACCATTATGATTCGAACTGTTTTTATTTTGGGGAGCACATGCATTATCTCTTCAAAGGTCATGAGAGCAAAAATTTCATATTGACTAGCTCCGATAATGTGAATTGTCAAATCCTCGAGAGAACGTAATTTGCTACGAACATAGAATCTCTCCAGCGCCGATAAGATCGTGAGAGGTAACGAAAGATTGTTGGTGATCACTCCACATAGGGCATCGAGGTGGATAAATTGAGAATTCTTCCGCCATTTAAAATATCCATTCCAATCTTTTGGAAGCGGAGGATAAATAGCATTCGCATCCCATTCTTCGGGCGCCCACAGAGTTTCCGAAGTATCCTGGTATCTATTGATACGACTCATATTAACGACAATAACACACACAATCAGTTAATTAGCGGAAACCATCAAACCTTATTCTTTCACAGTTAATCATCAGTTGGTAAATTTTGCACAAAGATTGATGTTTTTCTCGATGTTTTTCCCAATGCTCTGAGGAGCAACAGAACGTGACTTTGCATTCAGGACACGGGATTAACGGTGATTGATTTTGCAAATCCCGAGTAGTTCGAAAACAAACATGACATTTAGGCTGATGTAGCCAAGCATTCCTCTCATAATTATTCAGTTCTCTATCAAGTGCCTCGGTCAATAGCTGCATGTGATATATATTTCGTTTATTCCATTCTGATTCTTGTTCGTTGCAGGAATACCAAGCTTCTTCAAACTCGCTGAGCTCTTTAACTGCCGCACATAAATGTTTATGAAAAGAAAAGTCCGCCTTTTGGCATTCTCTTGAGCAATAGCAGGACATGCGACAGCGGGTACATCTTAGAAGTGCTTTGATGCCGACTTCTGCGCCGGTTTTACGACAATTCGAACAGGCTGTTCCCGCGATTTGCAAGTATGTCTTTCGTTTTTTCAATTCTTCTTCTTTTGATGTCATTTTGGAGTTTAAAAATACGTAAGTTCCTGTGGTCAATGTACTTTGCAAATTTCTGATTGGCCGATAATTTCTTATCATAATCTTCACATTCTAATAGATTGTTAAAATCATGAGAGGATTCGCCCACCTATGTTTCCTTCCTTTTCATGCCTCCAAATCTTGGGAAGAGACATTTGATTACACAGACTCGGTGACTCAGCACACTGAAACAAAAAAGTATCATGAACATCATTCAGCGCCAAAATACTTTATAGGACACTTCATAAATCTTTCGGATCACAAAAACTATGGTATAAAAGCCACCTTATCACCAACTCCGCCTCCACCATCGCACAACATTCATAGTTGTCTACTCGAGCACCCGATATATTACGACCTCACACTACAAGATTACGCTAGAAAACGCCAATGGACATTGAAATGGGTTGGCTGGTGGGGTGGGGACGCGGGATGGATGAGTTCAGATCCAAATAGTAGTGTAAATGACAATAGAATTAAAATAGATCAAGAGCATGAAAGTACAAGCGAGAGAGAGGGAAAAAATTTTGAGCAATATGTTTGGTTTCGTACCAATCGTCTGAAAGCCAATGAGGAAGCTCAAAAGCATATTAAGAAGTTTATGCCGAAATTGGAAATAGATAAAGAAGACTTGGACAGTGCACATATTTGTTTGGGAGACATGGAGATGGTTGTAGAAGTTGAACAAGAAGGCGAAGATAATTATAAAAAATTAGGTGATCATGACAGAGAGGATGAATTACATGAGGAAGATGATGATCTTGATGAAAAAGAAGATATATGTGTAGCTAGTGGTATAGATTTAAGAGAACAAATCGAAGAGTCGGTTGGTGAAATAGAAGACGAGGAGCAAAGTGATAACGATGAAATGGTTTTATTTAGCGAAAAAGAACTAGAAAAAATTTGTGATAGATTTGCTAATGATGCATTAGGAACACAGTAAAGCTCAATTCATTTGTATCGACTTTTAGTTAATTAAAAGTAAACAGTTAAATTTCCATCAAATATTTCTGCTAATGTTAGATTCAATCAATAAGTTCAGATTTGAAAATTGTATAAATTCATATTGACTCATACATTTACTGTATATAATAAAATATACAGTGGTACCCAAAATTTTTTGGAAAAATTTTTTAAAAAATTAAAAATTGTATTGTTATTTAATAAATATTAATTTAAAAAATATAAAAAAATTAAATATAAGTCTTTTAGTATTAATAAATAATTTT